AAAAAAAAAAAAAAAAAAGATTGTTGTTTTTCATAACTTCAAGGAATTAGAAAACATACCAACCAAATATTCTGTGAAAGATAAGAACACTTTTATGGAATTAGTAGCAATAGGCTTATATTTTAATATGGAATTACAGTAGAGTAGTACCATATACATTCTTTTTTTTTTTGGAGATGGAGTCATGTTCTGTCACCAAGGCTGGAGTAAAGATGTGCAATCTTGGTTCCTTGCAACCTCTGTCTCCCAGGTTCAAGAGATTCTCCTGTCTCAGCCTTCTGAGTAGCTGGGATTACAGTCACCTGCCACCGCGCCTGGCTAATTTTGGTATTTTTAGGAGAGATGGGGTTTCGCCATGTTGGACAGACTGGTCTCGAACTCCTAATCTCAAGTGATTCACCTATCTTGGCCTCCCAAAGTGCTGGGATTATAGGCATGAGCCAGTGTACCTGTCCATACATTCTTAAGTTAAGCATATTCAATTATCTTTGCTCAAAAAAACATACAGAATGGGCGGGGCGCAGTAGCTCATGCCTGTAATCCCAGCACTTTGGGAGGCTGAGGCAGGTGGATTGCCTGAGTTTAGGAGTTCACAACCAGCCTGGGCAACATGGTGAAACCCCGTCTCTACCAAATACAAAAAATTAGCTGGGCATGGTGTTGTGCACCTGTAGTCCCAGCTACTCAGGAGGCTGAGGCAGGAGAATTGCTTGAACCCAGGAGGCAGAGGTTGCAGTGAGCTGAGATCGTGCCACTGCACTTACACAAACACACACACACACACACACACACACACACACACACACACACACACAGAATGTGGTAGTTGGGATAACGGCCCTCAAAGATGTCTGTGTTTTTATCTCCGGAACCTATGAATGTTATGTCACACAGAAAGGAGAGTTGAAATTAATATTGCTAATGAGGGCCAGGTGCAGTTGCTTATGCCTGTAATCCCAGCACTTTGGGAGGCTAAGGAGGGTGGATCACCTGAGGCTGGGAATTTGAGACCAGCCTGACCAACATGGAGAAACTCTGTCTCTACTAAAAATACAGTATCAGCCGGGCGTGGTGGCGCATACCTGTAATCCCAGCTACACGAGAGGCTGAGGCAAGAGAATCCCTTGAACCCAGGAGGTGGAGGTTGCAGTGAGCTGAGATCACGCCATTGCACTCCAGCCTGGGCAACAAGAGTGAAACTCCATCTCAAAAAAAAAAAAAATTGCTAATCAGTTGATTACTACAAAATGGTGAGATTATCCCGGTTTATCTGGGTGGACACAATATATTCACAAGGGTCCTTAGAAGTGAAAGTGGGAAGGCCAGGTGCTGTGGCTCACGCCTGTAATCCCAACACTTTGGGAGCTTTGGGAGGCCTAGGGCAGATCACTTGAGGTCAGGAGTTTGAGACCAGCCTGGCCAACATGGTGAAATACTGTTTCTACTAAAAATACAAAAATTAACCGGGCATGGTGGTGCACACCTGTAGTCCCAACTACTTGGGAAGTTGAGGCAGAATTGCTTGAACCTGGGAGGCTGAGGTTGCAATGAACTGAGATCACGCCACTGCACTTTTTCTGTGAATGGCCTGATGGCAAATGTTTTAGGCTTTGTGGAACACACAAGGTCTCTACAGCACATTCTCTTTTTTTTTTTTTGACCCTTTCAAAATGTGAAAACTGTTCTTGGCTCTAGTGCTGTATAAAAAGCTGGTTATGGACGGTATTTGATCCACAGATTGCAGTTTGCCAAAATGCAGAATCTCATTGTGAGAAAACATTAGACAAACACAAAGTGAGAAACAACCTACAAAAAAATACTCATTAAGAGGGTCAGCTGGCTGGGTGCGGTGGCTCACGCCTGTAATCCCAGCACTTTGGGAGGTCCAGGTGGGCAGATCACTTGAGCTCAGGAGTTTGAGACCAGCCTGGCCAACATAGTGAAACCTTGTATCTACTGAAAGTACAAAAATTATCTGGGTGTGGTGGCACACGCCTATAATCCTAGCTACTCAGGAGGCTGAGGCAGGAGAATGGCTTGAACCCGGGAGGGGGAGGCTGCAGTGAGCTGAGATTAAGCCAGTACACTCCAGCCTGGGTGACAGAGCAAGACTCCGTCTCAGAAAAAAAAAAAGTGTGTGTGTGTGTGTGTGTAATTTAATTATTGAAGTCTTGCTCTGTCGCCCAGGCTGGAGTGCTGTGGCATAATCATGGCTCACTGCAGCCTTGACCGCCCAGGATCAAGTGGTGCCTCAGCCTCTTGATTAGCTGGGACTACAGGTGCATGCTGCCATGCCTGGATACTTTTTGTATTTTTTGTAAAGAAGGAGTCTTGCAATGTTGCTCAGGCTGATAAATGTCATTTTTAAAGAAAAAAAAAAAGTATTTTCATGTGGTCAAAAACTGAGGGAAACCTTAAGGGTCTTCTTCAGATAGAGAGAAAATGATCCCAGATGAAAAATAAAAAATGACAACAATAGCAGAGAAGTTAGGAGAGGGGAACTGATGATTCAGGATTCACAGATTCCAATACTGTCCACCAAGTGCGAATTGAGAATACTCACTAACATTTATGTAGTTATCACAATTGCCTTTCTGGGCACTTTCACACTATTAGTTCATATAACAGCAATACATATACATATGTTTTGAGATGGAGTCTCTCTCTGCTTTCCAGGCTGGAGTGCAATGGTGCGATCTCAGCTCACTGTAACCACTGCCTCCCTGGTTCAAGTGATTCTTGTGCCTCAGCCTCCCAAGCAGCTGTGATTACAGATGTGTGCCACCATGTCCAGATAATTTTTATATTTTTAGTAGAGATGGGGTATTACCATGTTGGCCAGACTAGACTGGTCTCGAACTCCTGACCTCCAGCGATCCACCTGCCTCAGCCTCCCAAAGTGCTGGGATTACAGGCGTGAGCCACCGTACCTGGTGTAACAGCAATATTTTTTATCCCACCTGCCAAGGAGGAATCTGAAGCACAGGGAATTTAAGTAATTTATGCAAACTCACAGAGCTACTAAGGGGCAGAGCTAGGACTTGAAGTCAAGCGGTCTGACTCCAGCATCTGTGCCCTCCACTACTACAGAATAAATGAATTGCTGAATTAGATAAAATAAAAAGCAGTTTCAAGAAAATAAGTTTTTCTTTTTCTTTTTTTTTTTTGAGACATAGTCTTACTCCGATGCCCAAGCTAGCGTGCCGTGGTGCAATCTCAGCCCACTGCAACCTCTGCCTTCTGGGTTCAAGCAGTCCTCTTGCCTCAGCCTCCCGAGTAGCTGGGATTACAGGTGTGTGTGACCAGGCCCAGCTAATTTCTGTATTTTTAGTAGAGATGGGGTTTTACCATCTTGGCCAGGCTGGTTTTGAACTCCTGGCCTCAAGTGATTCGCCTACCTCGGCCTTCCAAAGTGCTGAGATTACAGGTGTGAGCCACTGCACCCAGCCAGGAAAATAAGTTTTACTGTTTTTTTTTTTTTTTTT